AGGTAGGACGTGCACACTGTCTGCTCAGGCTGAACGTGTGTCAAAACTGCAGGGCCTGTGGATTTGCTGCAGTTTGAACATTCCTTCACAGTAAAACTTGATCTGTGAATCACTACAACTGTGTGAGTAGCTATGCAAGAAAAGAGGCTTGCTGGGAACAGGGGTTTATATTTTCAGCATTTCTATTCACTCTGAGAAGAAAATTAGGATCATACACCTTCCATCCAGGTTTCAAAGCAGTTATTTTGTCCGTTACAAAATAGATTCACCTTGTGAAGCATCCTTGGAAGTTTCCGCTCTCAAGGCTTTTGGAAAGTCATTTGCTACACAGAGGCAGTGTCCTTAATCTCCAGGCTGAACTCTACCAGTCCCACACGCAGCTTATTGCTGAAGCATAATGGGTACAGTGAGCACAAAGTTTGCTGATCTCTCTTGCCATGCTCCCCCCAGCCAACTGCCACCAAACATTTAATAAGTCTTCAGACAGGCCAGAGTTTTCAGATTCTCAGCTATAATTACGTTGCACCCCCTGTCCTGTCCATTGAGAGAATAAATTAATGGAATGTCAAATTAAACAGAATAGATGCTCAGCACCACCCTAATCCTCCTGCTCCCTTAATGAATTAGATACTCATGCTTGACTTGCATCCGGATGACGTCCAGGATCATCTTACCAGCCGCTTTCTATTTTCATTCCATGGCTTGACTGTAATTATAATCATGCTAAAATGATTGGGTGAGAGGGACCTTAGGGAAGGGTGAAAAAGAATATACAGGAACATGAACGTTCATGCTAAAATGGAAAAACCTAGTCTGGGGAGGACGGGGATCATCAACTATGGTATGCTTGGAATGCTACGTGCAGTCATGTGTCACACTTACGAGGGATCTTGCAGAATCCAAAGCACTTATTTGGTGGTGGTTTGGTTTATTTACTGTATTAAAATAGAGGGGTGTTTTTTCTGTGTTTAACATACAGAGAGAATTGATTTAAACAAGAAGAAAATCCAATGTTTTTCCCCTTGTGCACACCTTCCCCTCCATCTCTTGTGAAACTGCTATTGTGAAGGACAGACTTGTTGCCTGATAGTTAAGGACTGACTGGTCTATCACCTGTCTGCTGTCAGAAAAACCTTATAGCACCCACTTGGAAATACATAGAAATTCTCTAATACTGTCTGGATGAATACCCTCCCTCATTGTTTCCACATGATGACCTCAAGGTAATTTTATTCAGCATAAAATATGACTCTAAACACTTCATAAATCAGGCTAATTCAGTTTCAAAAGTCTGAGTAATATGTGTAAATATATATAAAGGTGAGACATCCCAGGCAGAAGAGGGAAGTGAGCTACATATGACTGGCTCTCAGGAGTGGAAGGAACCTCAAGAGGTCTGTGATGCTCCTGGCCAAAAGCGAGATCCTCTAAACCTGAATGATGAGTCTGTTGTTAGAAAATCTCCATTTGAAGACATCCCAGTTTTCCCAGTGATCTGCTTTTCATATGATGAAAAGACTTGGTTGGTTTGTTTTCCTAATGTAAAATTGATATCAGTGTTTTGAAGCCACAAGCTACTCTGTGAACAACTCCTTGTTGGCAGCTCACGGGGCAGCTGTTAATGTTAGGAGTTTTAGCTGTTTGACTCCCCATATTCCTCAGTCTGCTTGTTCTCATGAACAAAACTCTGAATCACTTTTTTGGATGTGAGTAAATACTTGTTTGATGGGTCATCATTTGCTTTCTTAAGCAAATGGTGTTCAGTTAAAAATCCAGCCCAATAAGCCATTCATGGAACAAAAGTGGCATAAAAACGAAATGGTGCTTGTGGATATAAGAAGGTGCATAGGCTTATATATGCATAATATAAAGAATGTATATATATTAGACTACTTTTGCCTTCTGTAATACAGATAACCTGACTCCACCCTGACAGCTAAGACTATTTTAAGATGGATGCACAATTTCAGATCATAACTCTGCTTCAGAATTTCACAAGCAAAATATCGTGTTGCCATGAATAGCTTTGTTGCTGAGTATCTTTTTGGGGTCAACTGGCCAAGTGGGAACATGCAGGAAGGACACATCATTCAAACAAAGTCAGTATACACCTACAGCAGCTGGGAGCATGAACAAAACCTTTCAGAGGGTTAGAAGAGCTCCAGGAGAGCTGAATTAGCAAAGCAGGCAGCAAAACTGCTCTGATACTGTTGGCTTTTTCACACATTCTTGATGCTGGACATCAAGGTGGCAGCAGCAGTTGCTGCAGGACAGGGCTTGGGCCTTCTCATTTCTTTCTTTCTAATTCCATAAGAACAGCAAACTTGGCTTGCACAGCCTCAGGTGTCCCTCTCTGGTCCATCTTCTCTTTGCTTTCCTCATTTCCCTCCAATATATTTCTCTACATATATGTTACCACTAAGATACTTTTCAAACCAATATTTTAGTATCTTGATTACAGTAGCTTAGAAGTGTTTCTTTCTTAGAGTATTTGCTGAGTAAGTCATCCTATTTAAGTCAAAACTCTAGTCATGTCAGTTTTTATCTCTCTTTTCCTCTCAAAAAGTCTGGAACACTTGCTTGTAAAAGATGTTCATAAATACGATCGGTAGGACTCTTTTTCGTCTTAGATATAGCAATAGAGTTCATCAAAAACTGCTGAGAGTTCCCAAATCAGGGCTAGGTATTTTGTCCTGGTAGGACACATCATGTTCTCTCTTCCCTTTTCTTGTGTGGCTCATTAGGCATGAACGTGGTCATGAATAACTGTTACAAGTGGTGCCACATCCTTGCGTAGCTTCTCCTGGTCATTTTGCAGAAAGAGAAGGAAGCACAGGATGCTGGTGCCATATGCTGGACCCCATGGAGAGTCAGGCAGGACAAGCTATTCCCATAGTGCCTCATCCTGAACCATGGGCCCATGACACAAACCTAACCCTAAAGACTGTCGCTGACCCAAAAAGCCATCAATCAACAAAATGGAAGGCAGTATGTAAATGGCAGAAAACGCTTCAAAGGGACAGTCAGGCAATATTAATAATTATGATAGGTGGTAAAAGAATTAGCTCATCAACCTAATTATTCACTTAAATCCCCTGTGATAGCATGGTGGGGAAGAGATGACTTTATGGATGGGTGTATCCTTTCCTATTCCTTGGGATGAAATTTGTCCTCTGAGGCCATTCTCGACGTTCTTCCCTTCCCACACTGCCTCCCTGCCCCCAGCTATATGGGGGCCCCCAACTATACGGGCTCTACACTTGCTTTTTTTCACTGGCAGGAAGTTCTTGCAATAATGCATTTCATTTTCACTACTATCCCTGCGAAATGTGTCACTCAGATTTATGAAGTCCTTTGGATCCTTGTGCTGGGACTGAATTTGAGTTTCCACCTTCAACTGCTTACCCTGAAGAAGCGATGAGTCAGAACAGATTAAGGAAACGGACTGTGTCTCTGCAGCTCGAGTCTTCCCACGGTACTGAACAGTCAGCAGCTCACACCATGGTGGTATTTAAAGAGTGCAGCATGGATCAGGGTGGCCCCTGCATAAAAGGATAAGAAATGGCTCTCTCCCTGAAGAGCAGCAGTCGCAGTGAAGGGGGATGTCTGAGGTCACTCCACAGACCAGCGAGAGAGCTCTCAGTTGCAGCAAAAACCCTCAAACGATGTAAACATCGTGCTTTCATAGCAAATGCTGTGGGTCCATTCTTGATTTCAGACAGGGTAACTATGGTCAGCTCAAATATTTCATAACACTGTTGATTTTATAGAGTAAGAATTTCCAGAATTTAGAAAAACTGAGATGGTGCCCCAAAGAATTTATAATTTCCACACATACTGCGTAAGTGTATTCAGTCACTGGGAAAGGGAGGGGTAAATAAGCCTGAAGTGAGTTTTGTTTTCAAGGTCAGGGTTGTGGGAAGGTTGGCCATCTGTGCATTTGCTTAATAAAGCTGCTCAGAAATGTTGGTGTTTCAGCCTGTTTAAGTTCTGTTTGCAGATTAGTCTGAGCCCTTGGGTTTCTTTAAACAGTGCC